GGGCGTTCGGTCCATGACCGAGCGCCCGACTTTTCAGAGGGGGGTCAACCCTCCAATGGTGTCACCCGGGTGCGGGCCGCACCCCCCTTGTGACGCCACTGCTTCAGCCAATAAATAGTTCTTATTCTCAAATTTCCTAATCCATAGCAGCCAATTCATCCTATTTTAGCCAGCAAAGAACAAGATGGATTCCTACTAGCTGCTATAGGTTACTGCACTTAATCAATAGAAATAAAAGTGGTTGCTGCTCTGTAACAGTGGCGTCACAAGGGGGGTGCAGGGGTGCGGCCCGCACCCGGGTGCCACCATTGGAGGGGTGACACCAAAATGACTGACAGTCACCCCCCTCTGAAAAGTCGGGCGCTCGGTCATGTACCGAACGCCCGACAGTATCAGGAGAGAGGAGGGGACCCGGCGGCATACCTTATCCCGCCGGGTGACTGTCCCCTCCTCTCTCTGCCAGCATCCATCACCAAGATGGTCGCCGGCAGGTATCAGAATACTGCCGCGCGTGCGCGATGACGTTACGCGCATGCACAGTGACGTACTGGCGGGGTGACACTCGGTTACCGCTCCAGGTGTTACCCAGCCTCGGGACGCCCCTGCTGTAATACACTCTTTTCCAAGGCCAGGTTCAGGTTTCTTTTGAGTTTGATAGGGCTTCTAGTTCAGATCTTCTAGGTTTCTGGGGTTACAATGTATTTTATTTGCACCAGTGAAAAGTTTACAAAAGTTCATCCATCTCCAGCAAAGACTAGTAAAACCATAAAGTATTATGCGTAGATGATTCTAGGACAGAGATAACCCTTTGAGCACCGAACATTGAGTGGCTACAAGCACCAACGATCGAAAATTCCATCCCAGTTACCAGGATGAACTGTTGGGAGGAGGAACTAACACGTGACGTGTAACATGACCAATGTCTGTATATCTCCTCACCTTTAGAAAAACATACATAAGAAGAAAGAGGAATTCAGTGCCATGAACGAGGAGAAGTCTCGGGAGGTATGCAGAGCTCTCATTAAGAAGCTTTCTGCAGACTTTGAGAAAGCATTGAAAGAGGCAACGTACCATACTCAGGGAGGACATGCAAAGTTCAAGGAAGACCTGAAAGCCATCGAAACGAAGTACAATGTGGAAAGCGGAAAAGGTGTAAAGGTGGGTGGACATAAATCATTTAAAAATTGTTTAAAGGCATAAAATGATGGAATTAAATTCTTTGTTGTGTCATGTCCTCTCGTCCCACCATCATCTACAAACCCATGAATCAACTCCTTAGGACGCGGCTGTACCATGATACACAGTAAATATTGTGTGACACATCTGATTTGCAGGGCCGGTGCTGCCATTAGGCAAACTAGGCAGCCACCTAGGGCGCAGCCTCGACCTCTCACCCCACCCCCCATGGCGCCCCTCCTGTCGACTTCAAATTGCAAAAGCCAATAGCAGGCTGGCTATTGCACCCACCCACTGAGCAGAGGAGCGTAACTGAGAGACAACTTTCTCTCCCAGGTCCGGTCCTTTGCTCGGTGGGTGGGGTTTCAACAGCCAGTCTGCTATTGGCTATTTCAAATTAAAATAGCAGTCTGACTATTGCTCTGGGCTGCTTAAATCCACCTGTCACCTGCAGAAGCTTGCTGGCAGGAGAATCGGGCCGTGCGGGGGGGGCTTGGGGGTTGCAAGTAGCTGGTCTTGCCTAGGGTGCAAAATAGTCTAGCACCGGCCCTGCTTACTTGCTTCAGAGCAACCTTATTATTTCTGAGGGGTACACGTATTGGGGATAAATTGCTATGGTATGGTAATGCAGGCTACCGTAGGCTCACATCCCTGAGGATAAAATTTGGTTGTCCACCTATGAGTGCATAAACTTTATTGGGCCAGGCCCATTAGGTTATGTAAGGGAGATTCACCCTCTCTATTTGTACTGATGACCATTATTAATTAAAGTTAAAAAAAATCCCACATTTCAAGTTATCAGAACTGGATACGATGGCAAATCTTTCAATGGGGACACTAGTTCTGGTGACCCTGCTGACCACCATGAATTCCCTCTGTTTGGAGGGATTTCCTCTCTTTTCCTGTTGTGGCAAACAGACAGGAAATGAAGTGTAATCTCCCCAATGGTTCATAAAGTTGAACCCTTCAATTCTCTTTCCTAATTAAAAAAGAAAATGTTTGGGCTTCAGATCTACTTTAACTTGATACATAATGTGTTTTAAAGCAATAACTCTAGTCTTTGATTGATTTTTGGATAGTGTTTGACCATTTTTCTCATGGGTAGTGTATACGCCAAACTAAAACCTTTTCTACCAATGTTCCTCTTCTACAGGTGGAAGAGGTTCTACAGGAATTCATAAAGTCCCAGCAAAGCTCTGAAATCATAATTATACAAGAGGACAACGCTCTAAATCAGAAACAGAAGCAAGAGGAAGGTCAGCGGCTTGAATAATGTAAACAGTTCATATGTTAAAATCACTGCTGAAAGTAATTTTAAATGAATCTGGCAAACAGGCAACTGATGTCTGAATGATAGATGCCTGCAAGCAAAGCTGTTTTTTGTTTTTCTTATGTAAAGTGCCCAAATTACTTTTTGAGCATGGGAGAGCATGTGGGCTTCCTCACTTGACACAGCTTAGGCTTGAGCGGCCAACGACCAAAAAGGAAAATGTCACATGGGTGGGACAGGTGGCATGAACATCATTAGAAAAATTAACATACACCTGACTAAGCAGGCTCCTCAATGTTTGGTATAAGTCGAGTAATCAACTTCCAACCATTACCCAACCAACACCTGTATATGGGACACTGGGAGTTACATATACAGGGGTTGGTTGGGAATTAACATTATCCACCCTATAAGCTTCGACACCATCTGACACTGAAGCTCACTTAGGGTGGACTCCTACAGTGGGGAGGTGGTGAATTGGCAAGAATACACTGCTTATATGTTGGGCTGGGCACTCTGTCCTCAATGGGCCCCTTCCTACTCTCCTTACTTCTCATTGGCCAGTGAGGGCAGACATCACACTCTGTAGTCAATTCAGAGGAGTGGATAGAAGGGGGGGGGGGATGGCACACCACTACCACAAGGGACCTGGTTACTGTCCACAATCAATGCAGCACTTGGCTTTTACATATGGGCTATTTAAATTGCACTCACAATGACAAAATGCACAAGTAGAGGTTACCTGAGGGAAAAAAATGCATTGGGAGATCCAGAGCTAATGGTAGCTAAAGTTAAACTCAGTTGTTAATGTTCCCAGTAAAAATCAACCTTTCCCCACCCTTTCTGTCTCCCAACCTACCCTATTGGTTAATGAACCCATCTATTACATTAAAGGTCCGATAGTGCGGCATAGGAACACCAAAGCCAAGCTCAGTTTTTGGGGTTGCCAGGATTTGCATCAACTGTGATCTGTCTTCTGTATCTCCGATCTGTCTATTATTTTGACATGATCTCATTACTGAAGGTGACCTCTGCGTATGCATTTTTGTTAATGTGGCAGTTCATGTTAATGGATTATTTGGTATTTTGCGGCCTCAATGCACAGCTGATTGCTGTTCTTTACTTTGTTTGGTAGTCCCTCCAGATTTGATATAGCAACTGCAAAGGTTTCCAGCACCATTTTTGTTTTACAACAATCCGAGTATTCTGAGTCATTTCATTCGCAGGGCCAAGGAGCTACACACTTCTTTTTTACCTATACTGGACTATTATAAAACATGTTCTTGTCGATGTATTCATTGTCTTTGCTCTTTGTCAGAGGAAAATGCAAGAAAAAAAATTGTGGCGATGGAAGAAGAGCTGAAAAGGCTGCAGGAGGTTCAGAAAGAACAGAAGGTGGAAGAGGAGAGGGATAATATCCAAAAGACCTTTGACAAGCTCATGGAGAAGATGGAGGAGGACAGAAGAATCATGAATGAGAAACTGGATCAAGTCATCAGACAGAAGGAGAGGGTAAAGCACATACATGTGGTGTACTTGTCTGACTTGAAGCCCAATTCCAGACAATTTTAGTTAGTTTTGGAAATATTTGGGCAAAGGTATCTTCAGGTTTTTACTTCTGTTAATGACCCCACCCCCCTCACTTCTTGTCCCTTTAAAACCTGTGCAGGAAAAGGGGGTTACTGTTGTTTCTGGAACAGGAGGGCACAAAGAGCAGTCAATACATGGTCAGAAGTTTAAGGAGTAAATACCTGGTCTGAGGTTTAACAATTACAATATGAGTTCAGAAAGTGGCCTCCAGATGGTCTCAAAGACCTCATATCAGCTCTAAATACATACAGTATAGGCTCTATAGGTAAATCATTGGAAGTCTGGTAACAGCATTTCTTCTGCTTTTTATCATTGTAGTACTGCAGACTCCAGTTTAGTGGAGGTTTGTTAGGCCACTTCTGAGTCATGAGATGCTCTATCTAGCAGTCAAGCAAAACAGCAAGTATGCCCTTCCATGTGCACCTTGCTTTAAAGCTGGCGATAAGTTGATGAGTGCGTTTGCCATTTATTTTGCTTGACCAATTTGGTGCAGTGTCACACTGGGGGTCTCAGCTGCCGTTGTGATGTGCGGGGTCCCTTGTGTGTCCCTGTGCCTTTTTAAAGGGGGTTGGGCTTCCTCCTGGCAAACCTGCAACAAATGTTATCTTTTGCTACATGTGCTCCAAATGGAGACTCTCATAGGTTAGAGTTAGGACCGCACTACATAGAGGTGCCTTGATGCGGCTGTGCAGCTTTCACATATTCTGCAGAAGACGTGTATCTAAACCTCTGCTTTTAACCTTAGCGGTGAGACAAGTTTTTTTGCATGCTGGCTGGTGAGTGCGCTGGGAAATTTTTTGCTGCACTATCTTGAGACTTTTGGAATAGCTTACTAAAGGGGTTGAGAACCTTTACTCAAAGAACTGTGTGAATATTCACTTCAATTATTAAATTTTGTGAAAGCAAAATTTGCTTTACTTGTTTCTTCTGCACAGGATTGGGTATTCAAAGTGAATAGGAATTTGCTTTTCCGGTAACTGGATGATTGAAGTAAATATTCACACGTTTTTTTTTTTGAGTGAACTTAAGTCCTTCAGTAAATCAGTCTCTTTGTTAACCCCTTCATGTGCATTGATAGATATACAGAGTCTTGAGCGTTGCATAGGACTAGACAAAGTTAATTCATGGCTGCAATAAAGAAAAGGCTGGATAGTGGAGATTACACTTGTAAGGATTGTTCTGGGCACGCATGTAGAAGAGCTAACAATTTCTGTCCAGGAGCTTAATTCCAACAATGGGAGCCATCTGGTTCCTGCACCTAGATAAGACATCTAAAGGGTATGCCACCCCCAGTAGAACATAGTAGAACTTGTTGTAAGCCACCAGCAATGCATATAGTGATGGAAAACTGCATCCCACACTCTGCTGTGGGACTACCCAGTCTTACATTGCTCATCCAACAACAATGGCCAACCCAGTCACAGTAAATGACCTCCCAGCATCCAGCAATTTCGGTCCCAACCAAAGACTTCTTCTCACTCATTGTTCTCATTAATCACATCCTGGACTGCACATCCAAGCCCTGATGAAGAAGGATCTTCGAAATGTGCTGGCTTTCAACTGCTAACAAAACCTTAATCATTTCTACCTAATCACCTCACAGGTTCATCCATTTGGTGCACATTTTCTTTTTCATCTCACATTTTCACCCAAACTCCCTCAGTGGGCAGAAGGACACCTTAGTTTTGGAGAAGCCTAATTGTTATTGTGACATTAGTAAAGAGGCAGTTTTCCTACATCATTAGGTCCCGAGAAGTTCCTAAAATAAAGCACCACTCTTGACCAAATTCCAGCTGCCCTAAGTTCAACAACTCAGGGGTTACTCAGTCTACTGCTCCTTCTCTGCACTTTTCAGACAAAATAGCCCTTAGGGGTTGAACCTTAAATTTTGTTAACGCTCACTGAGATGTTGCTGTGGCCCGATGCACAGTACAATCCAGCAGAGAATAACAGATCATGGAATAACTGTGTTGTTATAGCTTTACATATACACTAACTGCACTAACACTCAATGTGTTCTCAGAATCAACAGCTTTACATGGACCAGGGACTTCCGCGGCACGCCAACATGTACCAGGAGCAGATCAAAGACATAAAGCAAGAACAAAAAGAGGAAAGTGGACCGGCCTGGTATGAACCCATCGTGAGCACTTTCAAGAAGGTCGCTGGTGAAGTACTTCCAGATTTAGTTAAAATGGGAGGACAAATAATCATGAAAAAAATTGATAATTTTAATACTAATGAGGCTGCCGGATCTATCACAAAGTGAGCCAATGCTAAAAAGAGGAAGTGAAACGGATCATGAGATAACGTTTTGATAAAAAGTCTGCGACATTCGTTAATTCCCCCTCAGTGAGAATAAATCCTTCCCCAACCATTTCCTAATTGTATGTTTGTATGAAGTGAAAATCTCTCTTATCTACATGATAAAAGAAAAAAACAAACCAATATAACCGCTTTCTGGACTGCGTCCTCCATATAGACCAGGGACCAACTCTTGGTGAATTCTCCAAGGAATAAATGCTTTAGGGTGAAACAGGAAGTTTAGCACCAGGAACTTTTGGCTGAACACCAAAGTCCTGATTATGACCGAGGAAAATGGGCGGTAATGTATCAATTAGTAGTTATTTAGATTTGATATCTGGTATTGGAGGAGGTATTCCTTTTAAGTAGGGAGTACTAGTATCGGAATCGGTGCCAGTGCCGCATATTTGGGCGAGTACTCGTACTGGCCCAAATGCTCCATTGCCTAGCCCGATACTTGAGTTTCCGGTATCAGGAAGCCTGGCAGCAAGTCATTACATGCTGCCCAGCTTCGTGATTGGCCGGGAAGCCAGGCAGCATGTCATGACTCACTGCTGAGCTTACTGATTGGTCGGGAAGCTATCCAGTTAGGAAGCCGGATGGCGAGTCATTACAAACCCCCCCCCCCCCCCCCCCCACCCCCTAGAAAGCCACCTTTATGCTCCCTCGTCACCTGGTGACAAGGGAGCATGTAGTCGGCTTCATGCCAATCAGGAAGCCGCTTGCCACGCCGCTACATGGTGCCAAGGATCCTGATTGGCCAGAAAGCCGGCTCCATGCTTTCTCCTCAAATGGTGATGAGAAAGCATGTAGACGACTTCCCAGCTAATCAGGAAGCCAGGTGGCGAGTCACGCCGCCTGGTTTCCTTAATGGGACTTTTGGTATCAGTATTCAGTATTGATATAGGCTGCTATATACTGAGCTTTGGGTCACAGGAGGAGGTTAGTATATGTCCTCCTGTGACCCTAAATAGAACTATGGGGGAAAAACAATACCTCAAATACCTTTTAAGTAAATAATAATAGAAAAACAGAGTTTCCAAACTTTTACCACATCTCTGCTGAACAGACACAAAAACATTGTCTGTAGTTTCACTTTAAAGGAGAACTATGAGGTGGGGGAGGAGTGCTTTCCACTCACCTCATAGTTCTAGCCGACCTGTGACAATGAGACTGTCACAGGTCGGCTCAGTAGATCGGGAAGTGAGCGAACACATACCGGCGTTCGCTCACCTCTCGATCCTGTCACCGCTCTCTACCGTGACAGGGGAGAGGCTGGATTCCCCCCTCCCCGCTCCGATCTGCCAGCGCTGACTGGAGGAACGGACGGGGGAAGGGGCGGGTACAGCTGCCTCTGCCTCTAGATAGGCAGAGCCAGCTGTCAGTCACGCAGCTGGGCGGATCCCGGCACAATTGTGCCGGGATCCGCTTCAGCTGCGGCGTCTCAGTAACTACAGCTCGCGGTATACTGAGCCTAGGGTGACGGGAGGACGCTAGTTTGTGTCCTCCCGTTACCCTAAGGAGAACTATGCGGAACCCATAGTTCTCCTTTAACCAGATAATTTCCAGAGTCATTGTCACACTCCAGCTCGGGGATTGTTATATAGGAAAACGTTTGTTATTACTCGTGAGACAAAAGTAATGCGTTCATTGTTTTGGGGACACGCAAGTCTTTCCTTTGGTGGTGTTGCCCCCTAAGAGTTATATCATATCTTCGATATCATTAAAGATAAAACACATCATAGAAAAGAAAGAAGAAGCTGGGATTATCTATAAAGCGGTAATTGTGACATTCCCCGAACATTCCGTGCAGGTGTATCGTCCTTGTGAATGTGTTTTGAATTACAGTGATTGGCTCACCTGCAGAGAATGTTTGGTGAATGTCACATTCACTGCTTCATAAATATCCCGCCTAGTGTTGCTTATTGTACTCATTCTGTTCTGCAGTTTGTATTATTCAACATAACAGAAAATTGCTGAATACTGAGTGTGATGAAGTTATTTACAAACCATATTAAAGACGTTTTATAAATGGTGTATTTTTCTGTCAGCGCTTTGCTAACACAATAAAGGATCAAAATGAACAGAAGCACGGGTATGTTTTTGTACAAAAGATTCGTCTTCATAAAAAAACTAGCTGAGGAGAGGAATGGGAGGAAGGGGTGACTTCCAGCTTGTTAGGGTTAATCGGCGGATGAAATCGGAAATTCTCATCACAATGTTTTACTTCCTCGAGTTTGCTTAAGGAAATTCCGTGCAACAAAACTAGATACATTGTAGTCTCCTGCTCTTCACAAAAGCAATGAATACATTGTGTCAAGTACTGAACAGAAACAATTGGGAGCTACAATCACTGAATTGGGGATTCAGCAATGAAATGGCAATAACTGGGATTCAGTGGTAACTAGGGATGCACCGATACAGGTCATTTGGCGACGCTGATCTGTCATTACAACTGGGCAGAGTGACCCATGGGATCACGGCTGGCTCCGCCCAGCTGTCATTTGTGGGGTTAACGGTCGGCCTTTGGCAGGTCGTTCGCCCCCTGCTTCGGCTGTCACTTTGGCTCAGCCAAGCCGAAGCATATGCCTTCGGCTTGGCTGAGCCACTCGGCTTCTGTATGGGCTATTGCGAACTGCCCGTACAGCAGCCCTTCGGGTTTGACTGAAGAGAACCGGAGGATCAGCCAAAGCTACGCCTGTATCCTTCAGCTCCGTCGTGAACAACCCCCTTATTTATTTTTTGATAGCGTGTGAAAGAAATATCAGTTCTCTTTTTTATGGCCATCGATGTCTCATCACTTCCTGCTTCTGTGACACTAGGACAGGAAACGGTGTGTGTGGTTGGCGGTGGTCATGGTGGGGGTGGTGTGGGGGTTGGGGCGGATTAGGAGC